GCGATCATGGACATTGACGAGACGATGGAAGCGCATGCGGTCCACGCCATCATCCAGAAGTCCATCGAGAAGTTCCCTCTATACCTGGAGGAGATCCAGCGCGTGATCGACCAGATCCTCGAGGAGATGGCCATGATCCAAGGCGACCCGGAGGTGCGACAATGGGCACCCGAGCAAGCAGGAGCTATACGTGAAGCCCTACAGCAGCAGAGACTGCCGATGGTTTGTGCGGAACAACGGGCGAGTACGCACAACCTGGAGACCTACAGGGAGTTCACGGAGCAAGTTCAGGCTTTCCCATGGCAGCGAGCCATAGGGGGAAGCATCAAAGGACACGGGACCCCGGACGAAGTGTGTTTCATCCTGGAAGACGATTGGGAAGCTGCTTGGCGTCTTCACAGACACACGGTACCCGTAGCAGCCGTGGCCGACAACTTGCTGAGGCTCCTGCCACCGGCGCTCCTAAAGGCTTGGGGAAGCCTTAGAGGAGGCGCCAAAGTCTCACTACGTGCCCCAGTTTCCTTTTGGGGGCATAGCCTCTCGGAGCCCTTTAGAGGCTGTAGAGAGGGAGTTTGCACGTCTTAATTAGGCTGCGCAATCCACTGACAGCTCAAATCGCAAAATGTATGTATGTACGTACGTACATATGTATGTATGAGCAAAACCATAGAGTGACAGAAGCCAGACTGATGTCTGAGATTCGCACTGCAGATCCACATCCGGCGCAGTCCTCGTCGATTTCGTTGAAGACCCGCTGCATGACGGCGGCTTCCAACTCGATGTCCAGCTGCTTCGCCAATCTCCCAAACCTCACCGACATGGACCCACAGTTCGAGTTGAAAACTGACGGTCGGACAGCAAGTTCTCTCTCGTCCCCCCTTGCCCCCCTTACTCTCTCCTAAGAAGTGCCCGTAGCTCTCGCCGATTCCGGACCCCAGAACTCGAAGCCTACCAGCCTCTGACAAGGTCCAATTCCTGAGGCCCTGTCTGGGCTAGGGATAGCGAGGAGCTCGTCGAATGCAACCAGCTGCCATGCTTCTGGAAAGCTTCCTGTCCCACAAAGTGAGCTACTATGTGGGCCACGTCACGCCATATTCGTCAGCTGCAAAAACTTAAATGCCGAGCCGAGGAACCTCGATGCTGCCAAACTTCTCACAAATGCTGCGAGCCATCTCCTGATGGAGCCGCTACAAAGGAAGCTTGAGTGCATAATGATGGGGCCACCGTTTGCCAGACTGTGGTCCTCAAAGATTCGTTTGACCTCATTCCTTTGACGAAGCTTCTCACGACGCCTAAGTTGCGAAGATGCACAGTGGGCGGCTTTCGCATGAGGGCTGCTGGTTCACTCAGTGCCAAACCTTTTAAAGCGTGGGCCACATTGCTTCTGAAAAGGTCCTGGGCCTCTTCGGTTCTTTTGGGGTCTCTGGATCGATTCTTACTCACAGCTGAGACGACTGTTTGTACAGATTTCGGAGTATAATAACGGCTTTCGGTCAAAAGACGGCTCGAAAGCTTTAGAACTTAGAGCTTGCGAAGAGCCAGGCTGGAATCGCAAACGAGATGCTTAATCTCGTCCAAGGGCGAGTCCAGCACATTCAAGAGTTCCTGAATGTCCACTCTTCCGAGACTTGCGGCTACCATGCCTGGAGGCATTCCTGGATGCTTTCTTCAGGCACTACAGAACATGCGGATACGCAATACTGTTGTGGGCTCCCCTCCCTTTGCCTCGACTGAGATGCTGCCACTGTAATCCTCATCGATGTGGGCAAAGAAATGAACGACGTTGTCCACCTCCGACAGATGGCAACCCATGTCTGGAGCTCTGTCCATGCATCTCAGGTTCGTCACATGAAGCACACGGACCAACCCCTTTTGCACATTGCATCTGCTGTTGGGACTTGAACCCTGACCCAAAGACTGCGGGCACCTTCACACCCCATTTCTTGAGCGCCAGCTCGAACTCAACCAATTTCAGCTCCACCTGCAGGTTTGCTTGTGAGACTGTTCCTGGTCTAAACGTGCAGCGTCTTTGCAGCATACCTCCGAATCGTTGACCATGTACAAGCCAACTGTCCCCTACCCCGATGTCACCAGAATCCCAACCACAAAAAGAAACCCTCAACCAATAAACTTGCACAAAACCTTCAGGAACGTGCGACCATAACTGCCCAAAGACGGCTGGCCTCGGGATCCAGGGCTTTGCGTGCCTGACAAGAAAGTAATTTCTTGAGAACGCAGCGTTTCAACCTCTCCCTCTGCCAAATTTCCTGGAACGCGATTCGGCAAGTTCGACTCTTCCAACCACTGAAGCAGAGCCCCGGAAGGCCCAAAAGTTTCGAAGCATAGTTCAGACCGTCGATGCAAAAGCTCCACACAGATACCGAAAACTCAATATCCGTAGGAGTCCTCCAAAATGCCTGTCACACACCTTACACACGGACCTCCGCCAGACTCCCATAGCGCTGCGCAAAGTGCTGCGCCAACCGCTCCACATCAACCTCCAAAGTGGCAGCTCAAGGATGAGAACGAATTCAGGCCTGAAGGTCTGTGACTGCTCCACATTCCAGTGGGGCTTCACAGCCGGCAAGACTCAAACCGAATCGACCAGACCGCAGATTCCTGTTATCTTCGCCAAGCCATGCCCCGGAACAGCTTTGTGAGCTCTCCAAGCCCTGATGCCTCGGGCTGATAATCGGCAGAGTCGACGCTCGGTTCAGGCAAACGAGGCGACAGGGTATCCTGCGCGGAAAAACGGACTTTGTATCCCTGAGGCTGGGCATGGAAACCAGGTCTCCTTGGCCTGCTAAAGCTCTGCCTGATCGCATATTCTGGGTGTCGCGCCTGGCTTCCACGCCGCATGATGGCATTTTGCCGTGGCTGCTGCCTTGTGAAAAATCTTAAACAGTAGAAAACACCCACTGCATACAGCAAGGCCATCTTTAGCTGAAGTTGGTGCAACAGCTTTGAAAAATATTGCAATTCATGCCGTGGCTGGAAGGTTCAAACCGGCCACCAACAACATTACAACGATCGCATACTTACGCACGTGCTCAACCAACACCGAACAACAGCGCATGAGCGAGTGGCTGTTGTAAGGGCAAATGCCACGGTCATGATCAATTCTGCGAAAAAAAGGATGCAAGACACAAGCATGAACGTCAGAAACACACTGTTTCTCGTCGCTGGCTAACATCATTGGACCAGACGAAGCCGAGAACCAGTGGCTCACATGTCGGGTAACCAGTCGGAACCAGAGGAGTAATTGGATGAGACGGGTCGGATATGGTTGGAATTGTTGGAAGCGAAAATTTTTTAGATGCCTTCGTCCGTGGCCAAGAAGGAGCCTTCTACACTGCGCCCTGAAAGCGCGACCGAACATTTCGAAATGTCCCCACCAGTTTCCGTTGCAAATTTTCATTTCCGACACCATCACAGGTGACACAACCATAAAAACGACTGGCACATCTCTCAGCAAAACGAAAAGCTCGAGAGGCGTCATCTGAGCATTCCCGGACTCAGCGTCAGCAGCGAGGATATGACAATCATCATGTTTATAGGCGTAGAAGCTCGCTGACTGGCACGAGTGGCAGAAAGCAGAAGACTGACTCCACGGCCTCACCGGGTGTGCGAAAGGAAGAAAATGAATGGATTGTCATCGATAATCCTTTTTTTTGCGGATGTGGGCCTCGTAAACAGCGTCAGCTGCGCTCGGTCCCAAAGCTAAACCAACAAGTCAACAAACCATCGAAAGGCGGTGAAACAAAAGGTGACTCGGAGACTACTGCAGGTTCACAATCTACCTGCATGGCGGCGGCTCTCAGCGCCAAGCAGAAGCAGCCAAGGGCCGTCGCCCGTCAGCCGCCCGAAGCAGCGGTGGATCCTCCAATGCAAAGGTCTCCGGCCGTCGTTCTAGTCCCGTCGGACAACGAGTGACCCCACCAACTCTTTTGTGTGTTGTCGTGCACACCAAAAGTCCAAAGTCCATCCTAAATGCCAACCGACAGGACGCGGGCGACATGCACTTTTTCGAACCCTTAAACGGCTCAGTGAAGTTGAATTTTTGACACTGGCATTGTCGTCCAGGCCCTTGCTCAGAGCTCCGTGCAGCCCACTTTGTGCCCAGCTACGATCATGGAAAAGTGGACAGCTGTCAAAGAAAGGCCCGGGCGGCTTGACACAGTTGAACTGCTTGGAAGCGGCTGTTTTTGGGCTTTCAACATGAGGGACGTAGAGGACGACAAAGGGACGTCGTTTCGCAACAGTAACACAGAGAAGCCCAGTAGAACCACAACTATGAAAAGGGATCATCGGCCCATGTTGGACAGAAACATCAAGCTCTGCTTCATTAGGTTTGCAACGGACTTCGATCCCAACATAAACAACGATCATCCTTTGTGAGGAGGTCTGGAAGTCGGACACCTGCCTTGTTCGCTGATGTTGAAGTTAACGTTGCCCGTGTAATTTCACCCGGGGCCATTCGGCCTTGCGGTAGCGGTTTTGCTCGGGAGTTGCTACGTGTGTAGTCACGTAATAATGGCCAATCCCTCTCTCTAGGGAGGGTGTTCCAGCTCTCCACTCTGTGATAGCTACAGGCCTAAGTTCGAGACATAAGTCAGAATTCGGTACTTTGGAGCACTGNNCGCGGGCCTACGGCCCGCAGCTCGAGAGATCGTAGGGGCTCTAAAGTGTTTGCAAAACGGGATTTAGAAGTGCTTTAGGGGGGCGCGTACCTGCCAGCAGCCCACGAGCACCTTACGAACTACTTGCCAGCAGCTCACGAGCTACTTAAGAGCTGCAGCCCAGCAGCTCACGAGCGACGGCTCGGCAGCTTACGAGCTACTTAAGAGCTGCAGCACAGCAGCTCACGAGCTACTTAAGAGCTGCAGCACAACAGCCCGCGAGCTACTTAAGAGCTGCAGCACAGCAGCCTGCGAGCTACTTAAGAGCTGTAGCACAGCAGCACAAGAGCTGCTTATGAGCTGCTCGTCCAGCAGCACACGAGCGACGTGCCGTCAGCTCACAAGCAGCCGAACGAACTTCGAAGCACTTCCCAGCTTCTGTTTCCGGCAAGCTTTCCGATCGCCACGCACGGAATCTGGATCGCCACGGACGTACTCTGTCCTACGACCCGTTCGTTGATCTGCAATTGCTTCGCGTGGGAGATAACGAGACTCACGTCGAACTCTCGAAAAGCGCCTTCCGCACTCCCAGATCGTGTAGCTGGCGTCTTTCAGCTCCTTGCAGACCTTCGATGAGCCTGATAATGTTGCATGTCATCCGGCACATAAGCAGTAATCTCATTGTTTGTCAGCAGTAATCTCATTGTTTGTCAGAATCAAGTACTTGTCACCTCCTAAGAGCGCTTGGAAGCTGCTCAGACACTTGACAAGTTACATTAGCGTGCACCGTGCACACATCGGGCTGTCGAAGTCGAGCTCGGCGTTCGAGCTGCAAATGCAAGCACTTCCAGTGCCAATGCGCCCAGTGCACGCGCTTCCAGTACTTCCAGTGCCAATGCGTCGAGTACAAACGATGCCACTAGCAGCGTTACAGCGTTTGCCGATGATCATGATGTTCGAAAACTTCAGGGCAATGCCTCTACAGTCAGTACATGTGAAAACGCAGAGCTTCACCTT